GGAAAAGCGAAAAAATTTGTCACGCGTCGGGTAATTGTGCGCATGGGTTAGGGAATTGTGCGCAAAGCAAAAATTGTAAGAAGTGAATGAATTATGTAATGTTGACAAAGAAAAAATCATAAAATATATTTATAACATTGTAATATAAATATATACTATATATATTATATATATTTAGCAAAAATATAAAACTAACCTCTCTGAGTCTCGTAAAATCAATCCAAAGTGGGGTTATGAACCTATGTTGACATGTGATAACTTTTTACAAAAGTAAACAAGTAGTGACGTCATAATCTGAGTATAAAATACTCAGCTCACTTCAAATTCAGTTTCACTTGTGTATACTGGAAAATATATAGTCTATTGAAGATGGGTAATTGTGCTTATTTCAAACCGCCTGCACACAGTTACCCGCCACGATCTGACTGTATATGAATTACGATTACTTCAATACTAGTTAACCAAACTTAATAAATAACGGGTCGAAAGGCCCACATAATAACGTACTTTAATAACGTATGCAACTTTAAACCAATAAATTAAAAATACGGACTTACCACCTTATTTTCTGAACGCTGAAATAACAAGAAAATGTATGTTTTCACTTTTTTATCTTTCACTGTTTATCAATGTACTTACGTCATATCTTTTGTGGTTATAACTTAAGAGGACGACCTCCTGCGTAAAAATTTCATCACGGCGATGTCTCCATCTATCGGCAAAGTACCAAACCAGGATGCCCACAATTACCCGCTGCGCACAATTCGCCCACTTTCCCCTAGTAGTTCACTTAAATATCTTATTTTAGTACTTTTTAGTAAGACAATATTATGATTATCTTAATAACTGGTTTTTATATATTTATTTTTATATATTAATACCTAATCTGCATATTAAACTTATTATATAGTACTTTATTATGAATTAATATCACGTTGGATCACTCTGTCGACTACAATGAATTCTTTCCATTCGCTAGATAGGTTAACTTTTTTTGCCGCATTAATCGATGACCTTCCCAATCCTTAGCATTGTTAAGTACGGTACCTACTGCTAAATAGAACGTCTTATTTGTAACAGGGTAATTATTTGTCTTATTTGTAAGAGGGTTGAACGTCCGTCTTTGAATACTCTTCCATGACTACCTCTGTAATTTAATAAGATTTAAGAACTAGTTATAACACAATATTTATATATATAAAATTATAGATACATATAGATTACGAAAAATTATTACTTTGAATGCATGAGAAGAAAATAGTTGTTTTCAAGACTTCTTTGCCCTCCACTTTTTTAACGGCTGTATACGCCATAGCTACTTCTCTCGACATATATTTTTTTTAAATATTTGTCAATGACTTCAGTAAAGGTATGCTTGCGTCCATAATTTTCCACACATTACGCTGCTAAAATAAGTATATACGTTTAAAATAAAGTATAACTGTATGCAATATGAGTATTTATTGAGAAAATGTATCTTACAAAATCTTGCCGAGATGCACTGTTATTTAGTTTTTCTTCAAATTTCTTGAAATCTGCTAACGTTTTGCACGGAAATTCTATACTTTTTTTCAGCAAATTCAATACCAGTACAAATTTGATGAGAAGTGTTCTTTGCAGAGTGTACAGTATTCAATTCCTTTATGGCTAAAGTCAGTTGTGTTAATTGTGTACATACTAAATCCGGATGATATCAAACGCGTTAAATCTATAATATAATGATAATTAAAATTAAGGTTTATTAAAAAATCACTAAGCAAATTAAAAAATAATAACTTAAAAACCTAAAAATAAGACTTACCGTTAGTAGCATATTGTTTACCCACGTCGAATTGAAAAGATGAACTCTTTTCCTCAATATGGTGTTTAGCAATTTTTGATGTTTTGTTACCATCGGTACATTGACGTTCTAGAAAATAATTTAGAGATATAACACTATATTATGTAGAAATATTATTATATTTATCTAAATAATTATTTTTTAATTTTTTAAGTGAATAGGAAATATTGCACGTCATATTTTGATTTATTGTTGATACACAGTACAATATCATGATTGTGAAAAATAGCAAGCTACATTAAAAAAGAATTCCACAGAATTTATTTGGAAAGCTGGCATTTGTTAGCTCAAAGTAAATTTATTTTATCACAATTATATATTAGTTTATAATTTTACGTCCTATTTGAAGAAGTTGATTATACAGATATAGCTATTGTCGCTGTTAATTCATTTCATAAGTAAACTTGATGATGACATATCTTTAATTTATTGGCCTTACTGTCTGCCTATATAGTATCCTTTATTTTTAATTAATTTTATATAAAGTTATAATAAATTGACTTACTTTTTAAACTAGAATCATTTTACATTTACAAGTGTTTTTGTTTTGTTTCCATTAAAACGTTTTATACATGAAAAAATAATAATTTATTCTATAAAATATTCACAACATTGATTAATTATAAATGTTATCTTATATATTATTGCAAATTAAAAATGTTTCAATAAAAGAGAGTTTATTCTTATCATTTTTCTTGTAATGATTATTTCTAATAAATAATATATAAAATAATATATATAAGGTGTAACTAAAAAAAAACGTATATGGAGTGTACCATGAGATACAGGGAAAGAATCCATGCAGAAAAGTCCTGAGTAATTTTTTGATCTGAGTTTTCAGTTCGTTGTTATACGACATTAAAGTTAGCGAATTAGTGTCCGAGTATAGAAGGAAAAGGGGTGATCCCGATTGATCACGGCTCGATCAGACACCACCAATCACAGCGACCGGTGTTTAGGAGCTTTGAAGTCTCAAGCGCTGTGAGTGGCTCGTGTCCAATTGAGCCGTGTCCAACTGGGTGCCACCCGAAGGAAAACAGGCACGTAGCAAAGCGGAGTGGAGCTGACGAATTCTCGGGAGAACGACGGTGAGCAGCGAAGCGATTGTAATTATCAACTCTCTCTCTCTCCCCCCTCCCTATCACTACATGAACATGTATCTAAGTAGGAGGTTGTTACTTTGAACACTTATTATAATTTTAACGAAATAAATAAACCGGACGCTAATTCGTTAACTTTAACATCGTATAACAACGAACTGAAAGCTCAGATCAAAAAATGACTCAGGACTTTTCTGCTTGGATTCTTGCCCTGTATCTCATATATGCTCCATACATGTTTATTTAGTTACACCCTGTACATTATACATATATACAGGGTTTTTGGCGACTCCCGCATTTTTTGTCATACGTGGGTAGAACAGCCTATACTGAATCAAAAAGTCCTGTACCATTTTGAGGTGTCAGCAATAGTTAACGAGATATTAACGTTTAAAAGATAGCCAAATACGCGCGTCCCCCCGATGTACTATTGCCGAAGGCACAGCCCACCGAGCGCACGGCGCCCCGCTCACCGCCGCGAGCCTCTAAGCTCGAACGGCGCGGCGCGCCTACTAGGCCATCCCCGTTCCTTGCAGCCCGCGCGCCGTGCGCTCGGTGGGCTGTGCCTTCGGCAATAGTACGTCGGGGGG